GTGGGGTAGAAAGGGGGAACCAATTACAGATTGATTTTTCAAGCATAAAGGGCAGTATGCCAGAATTCAGACAGTAGTATCCCCATGAGCCATAGCTGAAAAATGTAGTAGTACTATGCTATCTAGTAAGGCAATCAAACTATTCACATATTTCATATGACGATTTAAGTTAATAATAGTTAAATCAAGGGATTCTGGTGGCACAGTGATTAAACACTGGCCTGCTAATGGAAAGGTTGGCTGTTCAAACCTACCAGTCAGTCCCTGCCTAGCTGCAGGAATTACTGAACAACATGTTGAACTCGAAATTAGACAAGAACACCTTGCTTTATTGTGCTTTGCAAATACTGCAGTTTTTACAGATTGAAGATTTGTGGCAATTCTGCACCAAGTAAGTCTGTAGGCACCATTTCTTCAACAGCTTGTTGCTGTGCTTCACATCTTGGTAATTTTTAGAATATTCCAATTTTTTTTCATAATGCTACTGTACACTTAAAACCCGCCGAACTCTATGCCTTCGAATCTATTCCCACTCATAGCAACCCTATAGGGCAGAGTAGGACTGCCTCTGTAGGTGTTTCAGACTAACTCTTTACGGGAACACAAACTGTTAGACTAAACTGCAGTATAAAATTATCCACAGTAGTAGAATGGAGAACACTGTCTTTGTGGATTATTGCCCTTGGTGTCCCCTGAGATTATGGGTTGAGCCATCAAGCCCAGTGACATTGCTTCAAGTTTTCAAAATGTTACCCCTTATGGTCTCCTACATACATGAATAAATTTATAGCATAGGTAAATACATATGTAAAAATATACACTCTCAATCATATGCATATTCTTGGGTATAGTCACATTCTCTTTTCCACACCTATACAGCTTGCCAGGATATCACCTTTTTAAAAAGACATCAATATAAAAAATTGTATCCTACCTAAAAGATGCACATGTGTGTGACAAAACTGCATAAAGCCAGAAGCAAGTGATTATTCCTATATACCTCAGGATAATTGTTAATTATGGTGGGAGGGAAAGTTTGTGGTTAGAAAGGTGTGGTGGGCAAAGTTTTATTTTGTTGACCTTCTATTAGAATTTTTTAAAAATTAGTGCTTAGCTCATGCATAGATTTTAGTTAAGACATAGAAAATGTTAATACAGACCCTGGTTTTTAGTATGTTGTAATGGTAGTAGGGGGTAAACATTCACTGCTTCTAGCACAGTTTTAAACTTAAAAAATGCAAATGACAGGTGAATCAAAAATGTCATAGGTCATGTATGTAGAACCATTGAAAGCATCCCCTATATAAGAACAGATTTATGTTCTATATAAACTATGTGTAAAAAATATACTGTCTGCATTTATTTTACTTTTTGTTCTTTGAGTCACTTAAGTTACTTCAGTTATAGCTCTGCTTTAGTAGTTCCATGGCTGCATTTTGTTTGTGCTGTCTCATTCTTGTTCATGGTTTACATGAAGCAACTGGTATTTCCCACTTCATTGTCTCTGGCGGGCCCCTCCCACCCTCGTGGGATGACATTTTAATATGCATCTTCTCCTAGGCTTAAATCCTGCTAACTTCAAACTATGTTTAGGTACCTATTCTATTTTACAGGGATCAGGACTAGTGCTTTGCTCACTTCAGGTGCACAATTTAAGAAAATAGCAGAGTAATCACAGTAATCAAGATACGTAAATAATATCTTAGCATTTAAATTTAAAAAATGAAGATTAAGGAAAACACCTATACCTTAATGAACAATTCTAAAGCCATTGGCCATTGAATTCATCTCCACTCATTGCAACCCTTAAGGACGGAGTTTGCAAGGCTGGTGAACCTTTACAAAAGCCGATTGTCCCATCTGTCTCTCATGGAGCGACTGGTGGGTTCTGTTTACAGCTCAACCTTTTAAATAAAGACAAGGTCTCTGGGCCAAGCTTAGGATGAGTTGCGTGAGGCAGGGTCATGCAAGAGAATGGTTCAAGCCTATTGTTGAAGTTTTGATAATTTTTTATGTATATTATTGGATTATTGGCCACCCCTTAAATTTTGCGTCCGAGTCCTGCCTCAGAGAAGTGGGGTCTTACTCTATGTATAATCATATTATATTCTGAAATGTCCTTATAAACCACAGTAGGGTGGTTATGCATCAGGCTGCTCAGCAGTTCCAAACCACAGGAGAAATACAACCTTTCTACTCCCATAAAAGTGTTAAAGCCTAAGAAAACCCACAGGAGCAGGTCTCCTCTGTCCTATAGGGTTGGTGTGAGTCAGCAGTCTGCTTCTATAAACATTAGCCAAGAAAACCCTAAGAAGTCATTTTCTGTAACACGTTGGCTGTTACAGTTTGCAGATATTTAACGTGACATAATTTGCTTTAAAAGATAGTGTCATTTGGTTGTAGTTGAAAAGGAATAAGTGGACCTTTGTTAGAAAGGGCATTATTTTATTGAAAACAAATCTAGAAGTCCTTTAGAGCATTTTCAGATTATACAAGTAACAATTTTAAAAAGTGTATCGAAATGCCAAACCACGTAGATAGAGTCTAACCCAGTGCTTGGTACCTGGTTCTATGAGTTTTGACAAATGCATAGAGTTAGGTAACTGCCACTACAGTCAAGAGACAAATCCGTTTCATTATCCTCAAGGAACAGATTATGACGTTTCAACTTGTAGGACACAGATCTCCTATTACTGTTATCCTACAACTCTATAAAGCATATAATTGAGTATAGTAGTGTAAATAATTTTGTCTATGAAAGAAAAAAATTATAACATCTCACCCTTAGCTGTTTAAGTTCCTTTTCCTAAATTACCAGAATGGCAGATTCCCAGGTTCCATTTGTGTAAACTGTGGCGCACTGTTCATGCATTGGGCTGCTAACTGCAAGGTCAGGAGTTAGAAATAGCCAGCAACTCTTGGGAGAACAATGGGGTTTTCTACTTCCGTAAAGAGTTACTGTCGTGGAAACTCACAGGGGCAGCTCTAACCTGTCCTACAGTGTCGCTATGAGCTGGCATCAATTTGATGGCAATGAGTTTGGTTGTTTTGGCTTTACTGTAGTAAATTCATTGCTCTAACAATAACATACTGAATTTCAACCCTTTTTAAATGAGATAAACCTTTCTGTGCTTCTCAGGCTTGAAATGATAGTATTAATTTCACTGATAGAATTTAGGATTTGAGTTTAGAATTTGACTAAAACAATTCATTTAAATATGAGTAAACTCTATTACTTGTAACATTCGTTTGTCCTAAAACTTAGCAGATTCAGCTGGCATGTTACATAACTATGAGGGAGTTTGTTTTTTCCAGGTTCTAAACAAATTATTTCTTTTGTTATAAACTTATTTGAACAAATATTATATTTGTAATTCTTATATCAAAACAGTGAGCCTGGTAAATAAGGTTTGTGGGTAAACAGCTACAGAAAAATTAAAGGGATCAGATAGTTCATCTCACCAGTCTTTCTTTTTGATTCTGTACTATTTTAAAATAGGGAACTGTTGGGTTTTAGAGTTCTGCATATTCCTCAAATGCTGGCAATAGAAACATTGAAGAATTGCTTCAATCTGTAACCTGTGTGGTTTAACCTTTCTCTTGTCCAGCTTTTACATCTTATAACTTAACATAATGTCCGATTGTTGAAAAGATTTTTTAAGCCTGCATTAAGTGTTAAGCTAAGTAAAAAATTTGCTTTAATGGCCTTTTTATTGGAAATTCTCAAAGTTGGATGGCCAGAGCTCTGCCACTTCCTTTTTTTTTTCTTTTATTTTCAAGTAACTTCTCAAAGTCAGGACTTTTTCTAATAAACTTCTAGTTTGAAGTAGTACATATAAGAGAGTGTGGGTACTTTATCTTCCAAATTTTTTTATTTTAAGTCAAAGCATGCAAATTGGAGTCATTTTGCCGCCTTGAGGCAGAGAAGGAAGAGATGAGCCACTGCATTGTAAGGTGTCAATTGTGCATTGCTGGTTAATGGCTTATGTCTTCTTAGTGATTGCTTCATCATCCTATCCGTACCACTCAGCTGCCATTCCTGCTGCTGCCACTTCTCTACCACCCCCGCCCTTGCCGCCACCGCCACCTCCTACTCCTTCTCTTGAGATGGGAGATGCTTCAAACTTTCCACCACCACCGCCACCTTATTCCTGTGATCCTAGTGGCAGTGATCTGCCCCAAGGTAAGTAGATACTGAGATTTGAGTGAAGGCTATTTAACTATGAGATTTGTATTTTTAATGTTGTAGCATATCCCATTTTGGTTGAGCTGTGTGGCTAGGGTAGAAGATCAAATGTGAATTGACTGAGTAGGTCAGTGACTGGAAGAGTTCATGAATTAGAAAGCCAAATCAGCAAGTGGATTAGGAGAGTTGACATGTGGTGTTTTTTTAGTTTTTTTGGGTGGGTACATGTCTGCCTTCAACAAGATTCTCAAATGACTATCTTTGCTTTTCTCAGCTCTAGAAAAGCAGGAGTAAAAAACGTGAACTTGATGCACTCTGTACTAAGAATTCTGTGTGGATTTTAAAAACCAGTTTTGTTTTGTTTTTTTAGTGCAGACGGTGTTGAGGGGATCTGTCTAACCTGGGACTCTGCCATGTGCTCTTGTTTAATGAAACTACTAAGAAAATTGCTTTTTATCCGGAATTATGCTCAATTTGACACTATTTATAAAAAATAATTGTAATTGAATGTTTTTATTGCTTTTTCCTTGCTTTCTTTTGCTGATACATTTTCAGCAACTCCAGTTTGTTCTTTTAAGTTAATTATCTTCTTGGAGATGATTCTTATATCTATTTATTTCTAGACCTGGCCTCCCAGATTTTGGCTACTTGTCTACGACTACTTGTTGGACAGTTTTTACTTGGCTTCCTTAACTCAACATATGTTTAATGCAAGTTATCTTTTATATTCTTTGATACTTCTCCCCAGCACCAATGAAACATTGACCCTTCCCCTTGATTTCCTATTTGTTAAAAGGGCTTTCATTACCACCTGCTTGATTCAGTATCTCATTCCTGTCCAAGAGCTGCTCAGTTAACACATAAAGTTGATATTTGCATTTTTCTTTTTTCTTTCTTTTTTCCTTAACATTTATTTTAACATGTCTAAACATGTTCAAGCATTCATCAAGGTACAATGAATCTTTCATGTCCTCACTATGTTGTTAGTAGGTGCCATTGAGTCAGTTCTGACTCATAGGGACTTGTGGTATAGCAGAACAAAACACTGTCTGGTCCTGCCCCATCCTCCAAATTGTTCCTATGCTTGAGCTTATTGTTGCAGTCCTTGTGTCAATCCAGTTCTTTGAGCACATTCCTCTTTTTTGCTGCTCCTCCACCGTACCAAGCATAATGTCCTTCTCCAGGGACTGCTCTCGCTTCGCATGTCCAAAGTGCATAAGATGAAATCTTACTATCCTCACTACAAAGATCCTGTTATTAATATTTAACTGCATTTGATTTTTTACATACGTCTTCTATCCAACAATCAAACCATCCTATTTCAGTTGCATTTCAGAGTAAATTATAGACAACAGTATACTTCCCTCTCTAAACTTCAATATGAATCTCATTAGCTGGAGTTTAGTATTTAGTTTTCATTTGATGTAAGGTTATGTGCAATGGAGTGCAAAAGGTCAGTTTATATTGGCATAGTTTAAATAAATTCATGCATATGCTTGTGTTGATATACCCTATCAGAGTATAAAATATCATAATCATCATAATTCCTCAGTTACCTCTTGCTAGTCTTTCTTCACTCCCAACCACTATTTGTCTCCTGAGGGAATCATTTTAATAATACTAGTTTTACCTGTTTTAGAATTTCACATGAATGTAATCTGAATTCTTTATGGAAGGCTTAAACTCAGCAGAGTGATTTTGAGATTTACCTCTGGTGTTGCCTATATCAGTGGTTCTTTACAGTTTTTGCTGATGGTATCACTCTTCCTCAGTTTATTAATTTTCCTATGGATGTCTAGGTGTGGACTATTTCTAGTTTGGGCCTGTTATAAATAAAACTGCTATGAAAATTCTTATAAAAGTCCTTGTGAAATACATCTTTTTATTATCTTTGAATAAACACTGAAAGTAAAACTGCTGGGTCATAGATAGGTGTGTTTGGTTTTATAAAATTTGTGGAGTTGTACCATTTTATACCCCTACCAGCCGTGCTTAAGAGTTTCAATTGTTTCTCATTATTACCAGCATACAGAGTTGTGACTCTTTTGGCCATGCTGAATGAGAGTGATGAGCTTTTTTGTTTATGTGCTTATTTTGGTCATTCGTATAATTTGTGTATACTGTCTGTTTATTTTTTCACTATTTTTCATTTGTGTTCTCATTTATTGAATTATAGGAAGCTTTTACAATCCTTTGTTACGATACATTTGATAAATACTTTCTCTCAGGCCATAGCTTGTCTGTTTATTTCCTCATCTTTGTCTACTACAAAGCCATTGAACATTTGCCTGTTTTCCTCTGGAATCTGTCAGCTTTTATGCTTAGATCTGTGATATAGCTCATAATAATTTTGTGTATGGTGTAAGGTAGAGGTTGAAAGTTCCCCTTTCTCATGGATATCCAATTATTTCAGTATAATTTGTGGAAAAAAGATTTCCCTTTCTCCACTGGATCACTTAGGTCAAAAATATATGACCCGGCTTTTGATGCTTTCAATCCTTCCCTCAGTATCATACTCTCTTCACAGTAAGTTTTATGAGGTTAAATATTTTATTAGTTGACTATCTTCCTGAAAGTTGATTTGGATATTCTAGGTAATTTTCATTACCATTTGATTGGCTGTTTTACCCCCACCTCCTCAAAAAAAAGCCACCTGGGCATTTCATTGGGATTGTACTGAATCTACAGATAAATTTGGGGAGAATTGCCATCATAACAGAATTGACTCTTATAATGTATGTTCTCGGTATCATTATATTTAGGTTGTTTTGGTATCTAAAATGTTTTGGAATGATTTTCTATGTCTTTCATTATATATATTCCCAGTATTTGAGATTTTTGGTCTTAGAAGTGAGAATGGCAAGACTTTGTCTCACATACTTAGCACAGATTATCAGGAAGGACCAGTCCTTGGAAAATAACATCGTGGTTGGTAGAGGGTCACCAATAAAGAAGATCCTCAAGAAGTTAGACTGGCATAATGACTGTAACATGGGATTCTAACCTAACATTTGCGAGAGTTGGTTCATTCTGTTGTACCTAGGGTCCCTACGAGTCAAAAACTAAAAACTGTAATACGCATTTCTGTTTATGATACAGTGGTAAATCAGAGCTTTAAAAATTTAATCTTCTAAGTATGTCTTGGCAAGTTTATAGAAATGAAGTTGGTTTTTGCATACCAATCTTGACTAATTTTTAAGAATACACCTTGTACAGGGTTTTCAGAATTACTCACTGCCTCCTTCCTAGGTCATATCTTTATTTCTTCATTCCTTGAACTGTTACAATAGCTTCCTAGCTTTGTTCATTGCTTCTGTTACCTGAAACACTTTGTGTCTTCCTCTACAAACTCGTCAGTGAGTCTCTCACTTTTGTAGATTAAATTGGAATAGATTTGATGTGGCATTTACAACTTCTACGATCTAGTCTCCATTCCAGACTTAAACTCCGTCTGCTCTTCCTTGAATTCTCTGCACCTGGTTTTTATTCCTAAGCCATTGGTACTGTGGTGATTCTGTTAAATTGGAATATTAGGAATATTTCCTCTTCTTCCTACATCTAATTTATTTATTTGTGAAATATTTTAATTCCCTATACTCTGGAGAACTTTTATCCCCCCAGGATATAACAAGTTTTGATTTCTTTTCTCATTACTTCTTCTGTTAATAATTTTACTGTTACTTTAGTTAAACTTGAGTAAAAACAAAGGTGATTGTTTCATACTGTGCTGGTCGTCTCAGCAGGCATAATTAATCTCAGCATTATTTTGTAATATGTATCAGTGCTATTAACAGATTGCTTATGTAACTTTTGCATTAAGCTTTTAGACATGAGACAAGAATTTGCCTTTATTGGACTCTTCTAAATATTAACAAATGTTGTGGAGGTAACATCTGGGTAACTTAAGAATGAATATAAACAAAAGAAATATTACCAAACTTAGAGGTAGAAAGTGATCTTACAGTGGTAGGGTAGGGTAGATTGTAAGGTAGAATTTAGGGTGGTATCAATTTGAGAAGACGACATTGATACCTACCTTAAATGCTCAAAGAGAAAAGCTTTAAGTCAGCGGTTCTGAACCTTCCTAATGCCGCAACCCTTTAATACAGTTCTTCATGTTGTGATAACCCCCCAACCATAAAATTATTTTCGTTGCTACTTCATAACTGTCATTTTGCTACTATTATGAATCGAGCGACCCCTGTGAAAGGATTGTTTGACCCCCCCCAAAGGGGTTGCACGACCCACGGGTTGAGAACCGATGTTTTAAGTGATAGTTCTAATTACTGATATCTAGTCACTAAACTTTTTATTTTAATTTTAGATACCAAAGTTTTGCAGTACTATTTCAATCTGGGATTGCAGGTATGAGTCAAGTTGCTTTGCTAAGATCTGTATTAAAAATTATAAGCTGTTAATAATCAGATTCTTTTTCTTTACAAGCTAAGAAAATCTTGTTTGAGGATCCTAATTCTGAATTGAGCATTATAAGGGCCCTAAAATTTTTGTTTTTGTTTCCCCAAGTTCTTTTTGAAGATAATATAGTTTAGGTTTGTACTCTATCCTTGGAATGCTTTCGTCTCTCTTTATTAACTAGCTATTAAACTTAGTAGAGTGGGGCTGAGGTTTAAGCAGCACCACTTCAACATGTATTAATTAGCCTCCATGTGTAACATCATGTGGCAATTTAAATATTTATTTTGATTGTTCCTGCATTTTATGTGAAAGTTGAATTATCAGACTAATTCAACTGGTTTTCCTAATTGCTCTGAGCCATAGAGGTTATTCTTGATAAATGTCTTAATATCACTGAATGTTGTCTCTGATTTGAGATGAGAATTCTCTTAAGATCATTTTCCCCGAAAGATCCTTCTGAAATATCTACCAAGATGGCATGTCTACTGAAAAGAAATAAAAAATTTAGAATTGTAATTAATAATTATCTAATTTGTAATTAGTAATTACCAAGTTACTGGAAAGTCTCCTGGATAATGGTCAGATCCGTTTATCATTCCCAGACTCTGAATTCCCTAAACATTCATTGCCAGGATCTTGTCTGTCACAATGGGTATTTTGTTCTTGAGAATACTTTTCCTAAATATTGTTTAGAGACTTACAAAATAATAAACTACATGTCTCTTCCATTTTTTAGTTTATTATAATCACATATAGAAACTTCAGGTGTGGGTTGTTTTAGAGCAGGTGTCCTCAAACTATGGCCCGTGGGCCACATGTGCCCCGCCGAGGACATTTATCCACCCCGCCCAGTGTTTTTTTCCCGTTTGTTTTTTTTACTTCAAAATAAGATATGTGCAGTGTGCATAGGAATTTGTTCATAGGTTTTTATAAACTATAGTCCAGCCCTCCAACAGGTCTGAGGTACAGTAAACTGGCCCCCTGTTTAAAAAGTTTGAGGACCCCTGGTTTAGAGTATTGTCTTGACTTTTGCATCATGAGAATTAAAAAGAATTGAATAGATTTTTGACCTTTTCTGACAGTAAAAATAAAAATTTTCATTGTAGAACATGTGAGAAATAAGAAATGATAAAGAAAACCAAAATCACCTTTATAACAACTGTATACTTTGATATATTTCTTTATAGCTTTTAAACCAAAACATGGACTGTGCTAGATAATTTTGTGGTTTTCACAGTGTGCACATGATTTTTATTGCCTTTTCAGTGTTCTAGCATAGACATACCATAATTCCATAATTTGTTCATCCAGGTTTCTTTTGTTGAGCACTTAGATTATTCATTGTTTTCGTTTTTTTATTTTTAAAGTCACGCTTAAAAAGACATCATTATATATAGATGTTTGAACACATTGTGTTTTCCTTGAGAATGTTTTCTTAATTCCTAGATCGAAATATGAGAAAGACATGTTGTAAAAGATCTTAAAAGTTAGAAGACAATCTTTCTAAGTGTCATACTGTTTAAGAAAAAAAAATCAGTCTCACCACACCCGAAAATAATGGCTTAATGTTTTCAATGTGGAACTGTAATATTTTAAGAATAAAACCCAACCCACTGCCATCAAGTTCATTCCAACTCATAGCGACTCTATAGGACAGAGTAGGGCTATTCCATCAGATTTGCTAGACTGAAGCAGAATGCCGTATCTTTCTCCTATGAGTGGCTGGTGGGTTTAACAGCTGAGCACATTACCCACTGAACTACCAGAGCTTCTTGCTTTAAGAATAGGGAAGAGTAAAATTGTTTGCTCTTTTTCTTTGCCCTCTCTTGCTGAAGTGCTATCACCACAACTACTGGCATACCATGGTATGTGTGCCACAAATGCAGCAGCAGTTCTCGTTGGAGAATTATCCAGTGTATACTGAGCAACCTCCTCTGGTTGAGCAAGCCATTCCTCAGTTGTACAGTGACGGGGGGAGAACAGATGGCACACAGGCGGAAGCATCAGCAAATGGTGAGTACATAATGAGATTGCCTGCAAGAAAGACAATTGGATTTTGTTGTGTAATTTAGTAAGAAGTTTCAGATGTTTCATTTGGCCCATATACTAGGCCTGCAGTTCTCAAAGCAGAAATGTGTGGACCTTTTAGGGTTTTGGCGACCTTTTCCCAAGCGTTTATGTGTCCAAAACTATACTAAATAACAGTACAATTTTCTTTTCCCTTTCACTTTGTTGACATTTGCATTGGCAGTGCTGAAATCCAGGGCGGGTAAGAACTCTGACGCCAATAAGAACAAGGAAGTAGCAACAGACTGTGCTAGCAGTTCTGCATTTTCCTTGCTGCCAGACACTTGAGATACAACAACGCCAAGTGTAACTTTTTTGTTCCGAGACATTGCCAGTTTTACAAAATCTTGATTTTTGAATAATTATCTTCAATAATTATTTTTGACTAATTCTGGGTGACAAAGTGGGAAATATGTGTAAAGCACTTTTGCATGAGGAATGGAATATAACAGCTAACTTAAAAGGACAGTGTAATTCAGTTAACAATCTGAACTAGCTGACTTTTTAATGGAACATTTTTACCTGAAAGAAACAGTCAGGGTGGTTACTCCAGCTTGGAAATCTGGCAGTTTTTTTCCCAAATGAACAAAAGTGATTCACTACATGGAAAATCACTAATACTATATATTGTCAAAAAGAGGGGAATAGAACTATGTACTCATATCACTATGTTAAGAATTTAGGTTGCAGCTGGACATTGGGCCTCGACTCAAGTACTCCCTCAACACAAGAACACTTTGTTCTAACAATCTGGCATCCTTTGATGCTCACCTTTCGCTGAAGTCAAAATGGATGCATAAGAAAATGTGGTGAAGAAGCTTTGCACAGTGGCAATATCATAGCCAATGAGGTTTACCTGAGGCATGATTATTGCTAATTGAAAACTTTTCCCAATACCCCTCTGTGATGACATGAAATATAGTCGGCACTGGCAATTTTTGACGGTCTCCACGGAGACAGTTTTTAAAAAAAGAAAAGAAAATGTGAAGAAAGTTGATGGTGCCAGCTATCAAAAGATAGAGCATCTGGGGTCTTAAAGGCTTGAAGATAAATAAGCGGCCAACTAGCTGAAAAGCAACAAAGCCCACATGGAAGAAGCACACCAGCCTGTGTGATCATGAGGTGTCGATGAGATCAGGTATCAGGCATCTAAGACCCAGAACAAAATCATACCCAATGTGAATGGGTGGAGGGGCATGGAGTGGAGACCCAATGCCCATCTGTAGACAATTGGACATCCCCTCACAGAGGGGTCACAGGGAAGATATGAGCCAGTCAGGGTGCAGTATAGCACCGATGAAACACACAACTTTCCTCTAGTTTTGTGTTGCTTCCTTCCTCCCACTATTGTGACCTCAATTCTACCTTACAAATCAGATTATACCAGAACATGCACAGTGCTACAGATAAGAGCCTGAAACGGAGGGAATCCAGGATAAATAAAGCCCTCAGAGCGAACAATGAGAATAGAGACACCAGGAGGATTAGGGGAGTGGGGGGAGAAATGGAGAATCAATCACAAGGATCAACCAATAACCCCCTCTCGGGGATGAACAATGGAAAAGTGGGTGACGGGAGATGGAGGATGCTATAAGGTATGGAATTAATAATCTATAACTTACCAAGGGTTTGGGAGGGTGGGTAGGTGGGGGAGGGAGGGAGGGAGAAGAAATGTGAAGCTGATATCAGGGGTCTCATGTGGGAAGAGAGTGCTTTGAAAATGATGGCAGCATATGTACAGTTGTGCTTGACACACTGGATGAATGTATGGATTGTGATAAGAGATGTAAGAATCCCCAATGAAAGTATTTTAAAAAAAATCAAAATCAAGCTTTCAAGTAAAAATTAGAATTTTAGAAAACTTGGCTTTCAGAACTCTGGGCTTGGCAGCATCCTAATATTTAGAACTTCTGGAATAATGTAGGTAGAGAGATGAATAAATAATGGTTTATATTGTATCATGAACTGTTCAATATTTGGAATGCCTGTGTGACTCAATGGAACAGTATTTTCCCAGTAATGTGTGGGTAACATGTTATTTCTTACCCATGTGTGGTTTTGTAAAAGATATCAAAGTATGAGATAGAATATTGGACTTGAATTGTAAGAGCATATGAAAAGTCCACATTTCTGCTGACCTTTAAGTAGAAGTTTTTAAATATCTGTATGTGTTAAGCCAGATTTTCTTCACATACTTTAACCAAAAGAGAGTGAAGAAAGATTCTGAGACCAAATGAGAACCACTGTGCTAGACCATCGAGCACTGGTTCGGTGCCTGAGTTCAGTATAATACAGATAGAGAGGCATTTGAGGGGCTTGGAATGGGATCTTTACTCAGTCCTTCTTAGAATCAGCATGAGGGTAGAAGAAATAATGTAGATTTAACAGAACTGAATCTGGTTCACATTCCAGCACTGCTCCTTAATGATTACAATATTGGCTAGATTGCTTACCTCTTTAAGCCAGATTTCCTGTAAAATAGGGGAATACCAGACTTCCCAGAGTGGCTGGTTGAAAGACCTAGCCGAGATGGAATGTCTTAAGTATACTGTTCTTTGAATCACATTAAGAATGTTAATTTCCTTTTTTCTTTTCCTTTCCCTAAGCATATTTCAAAACCACTGCCCTCATCATAGTGACTCTATAGAGTTTCTGAGGCTGTGACTTTTCATGAGAACAAACAACCTCTTCTTTCTCCCGTAGAGCTGCTGGTGGGTTTGAACCATTAACCTCATGCTGAGCAGTCCTTTACTTACCTGACAGTGCCATCTGGACTCCTTTTAAATATTTTTATTTTGAAATGTTAGCACTATAGCATTGTATTCCTAGTATGGATGTGGTATGTGGCCCAGTGTACTTTTGTGGAACGTTTTAATTGTGGTGTGTTTGCATCAGGCAATGAGAAGTTTAGTTTCAAAGAACACGCTGATCTGTGTTATCCCAAGTAATGATGCATTCCTTTTCATCTAATAGATGTAGACACTCTAACAAGCCGAGGGTAAGAATAGCCATTGTCACTGAAATTGACCCTTGGTAATGAGGGCTATGGTTCTAGAATCTTCATGACAATAGTTAGTTGACCACGTTAATGTCTGGTTTTTTTTTTAGAATATTCTTCGGTATGAACCAGACTGTGTAGCAGATGTATTTTTTCATGGCTAAAGTGTGCTAAAAAGTTATTTGTACAATAAATGTTAATACCGGAAAGCTATTTGATAACTTGTGATTAGTTCTTTTAAGAGTCTGAGGAGGGACTAGGTATTCTAGAGAATAGTTCTTTATGTATTTAGCAGATTGGTACCCGAACCATCCTGGAAAGATCTCTAGGTAGACTATACCTGACACACAGCAATATACATATGTGTATATTTGGAAATTGTCATCGTTTGTTAACCTGGTTTTGCTCACTGTTTTTCATTCACTGTGAATGATTAATTTTATTTTCACCTTTAAGAATAGCCATCTATGTAGCATGCGTTTCTCCTTTAATGAATTGTACGATGTGGATTCTTTCTTTCAGGTGTTTTTACTAATTCTGACCCTGCATCTGTCACTCATGGAGGAGCAGTGTATTATCCAATAATGTCGGATCCCTATGGGCAGCCTCCATTGCCGGGTTTTGATTCCTGCCTGCCATATGTGCCAGAGTATTCCTATGTGCCTCCCTGGCACCCAGGTGGTGCAGTATATGGTGGTTCTCAAATTCATGGTGCTGTGAATCCTGGGCCAGTTAGCTATATTGCTTCACCTTCTACAGCCTCTAATTATGTACCTCCAAATATATAAAATGCTGAGCAGTATATAAGGTATTCTTGCACTGCCATTTTTCTTGCGGCCTTGGTTCTCAAAGCACATTTTATGTTAGTGCTTAAGGGATTTAGTTAGAATGCTTATTGTATCTGCCTTTAAGATTATTTTGTCTTCTGATTTGTTAGTACTTTAAAGTAATTGAATATTACTTTTTGTTGCCTAAAAAGGAAACTGAGACTCATGAACAACTTGCCCTCTATTGAGCAGGTTTTTGTATTCACCTGTTTTATCGGTCAACCAGCCGGTTAACTTTGTATTAGCTTGAGGGTATCATTTGCTAAAAGGAATAAATCCTACAAACTATTCACTTGGTTCAAAATTCACACATATTAAAGCCATGTAAACTTAGAATAGCTTCATTTTTTTAATTGAAAACAAGCCAAGGATGTTTGTTTTTTCTGGATGACAATACCAAAATTAAATGGGGCGCACTATGCAGATCTCTTAAGAATTGTCTGAATTGAGTTGTTTTCTATGATGTTAATCAGTTTTGAAAATACTTGGTTCCTCTGATTTAGACTTATCCCACATGCTGTAGTTAAGAATTAAGTTGATGTAACTGATTTACTGCACAGTATTGAATTTGGTATCCTTTGCACAATTAGCAGTAAATAAAGATTAGCATTTAAAATTGTTAAAATGTCTCTGGGATTTTCTTTTTTTCTCTTTTTCATCGCAACAGAAGGGTAGCAGACATTTGATTCATTTGTATTTTTAATTCCCGCACACTTCAGTTGCAAAAGAATGCGAATCTGTAACATGAACTGGTGGTAGGAGGGGGAGTTAATTGAGGGTGACTTGAAAATCTCAGGTCATTGCATTGTGTCTTCTAGTACTTTTTCTTTGCATGTGTTCAGTTCCAAGTTGTGTATCTGATATTTTAAAATACATTTAAAATACATTTTGGTCAGGCTGCAACTTGTCATTTCTGCCTTGCCCTTGTATCTCTCAAGGTCTGACTTGTCACTGACTCTCTGACATAGTCTTTTTTTTAAATTCATTTTATTGGGGGCTCACACAACTCTTATCACAATCCATACATATTCAATTGTATAAAGCATATTTGTACATTCATTGCCCTCATCATTCTCAAAACATTTGTTCTCCACTTAGCCCCTGGCATCAGCTTATTTTCCCCCTCCCTCATGAACCCTTGATAATTTATAAATTATTATTTTGCTATATCTTATACTGTCTGACGTCTCCCTTCACCCAATTTTCTGTTGTCCATCCCCCAGGGAGGAGGTTATATGCAGATCCTTGTAATTGGTTCCCCCTTTCCACTCCACCCTCCCTCCACCCTCCCGGTATCGCCACTCTCACCACTGGTCCTGAAGGGATCATCTGTCCTGGATAGCCTGTGATTCCAGCTCCTATCTGTACCAGTGTACATCCTCTGCTCTAGCTGGATTTGTAAGGTAGAATTGGGATCATGATAGTGGGGGAGGAAGCATTTAGGAACTAGAGGAAAGTTGTATGTTTCATCATTGCCACATCGCACCCTGACTGGCTCGTCTCCTCCCTACCCCTCTGACATATTCTATCCACCTTTTTGCCATCTCCCTCTTACCAACCTGGACCCATTAAGATCTGCATTCATCCACTCAAGGCTGCAAGGAAATTCATCATGAGTGCTTTGCTGCACCTCACCTGACAAGAGCCATAAGGCCACACTCATTGCCATCAAGTTGATGCCGACTCTCTGCTGCCCTTTGGCGTTTCCAAGATGGTAACTCTTTATGGGCATAGAAATTCCCATTTTCTACCAAGAAGCAGCTGGTGCTTCATCCCAACATGTAACCATTATGTCACCAGGGCTCCTCTCACCTGACAAGCAGCTGGTTTAGAAATGGTGTTGGGGTGCCCCAAACCAACCTTGAGTGGAACTCATGAGAGCTGGAAGACACGCGACTGCCTTCTTTTTCTGTGTTTTAACAACTGTTCCGTCTCTGGTGGTGCACTTTTACCATTTTTCGTCTTCCATTTTAGCAGATAATCTTTGATTTTGCCTTCTTTTGGGGGGGGTTCTACCTTGCATGGGTTCTAGCTCTCCCACTGTACATCTTCTTAGATCATCTTATATCATCACTATCATTAACTTTAAGGAATCTGTATGCTTGTGACTCAAATCTTTTATTTTCCCCACCTTTGACCACAACCCCAGTAAAAGAACAATTCTGAGACATCAAGGCTCAAGTTTTTGGTACTGATGAAAATACTGGAGTAGAATTCATTATATAAAAAAAGGCTTTTCCTTCAATGTACGGTTCTAAAGATGAGTTATTTTGCGTTGTTTCCTATAAACCAGTGTAAAGAATCAGAGTACACTTTATAATAAACCTGGAGCAATTTTATTTGGCATCCTTGTGCTGGAGAAACCCTTGCTGTACATGTTTGCATTTAGTAAAGAAAGGTGGCTGGCAGTGTGTGGATCTTTGAAACAACCTGTGTGTACTACTGTCTTAGCTGCTGCTTCTCTGCCATAACCTGCCAAGTTTTCAATTTGTAGAGCCTACAAGGTATATTCTGAGTCAAACTATTTTGATCAAGCTCAGAACAGTAGAGGAAAACCCCCTCCATATTTTTCAAATATGCTGGTATCTCTGATAAAGTGAATTGCTACTAAATTGTACAAATTTTCATTACAGAAAAATATCAAAACGTGAAGCTGTTACCCAGTGTACCCTCCTCCTAGGTCTATACACTTCTAAAGGTGGTATTTCCATCTCTCTAACCCTCCCCTGATAGCCCTGCTGGGGTAGTGTGTCCTGCATTGAGCAGCTAACCACAAGGTCAGCAGTTTGAAGCCACCAGCTGCTCTATGGGAGAAAGATGAGGCTTTCTACTCCCATGAAGAGTCACAATCTCAACCGTTTGGGGAGGGATAACAATAATGGTTGTAGAACATGAAGAGTATAATCAATGGAATGGAATTATACATATATAAGTAGTTGAATTGGTGAATATTGTATATATTTTTGCCACAATTGAAAAAAACTACGCGAATATGTAAAAGGAAGAAGAAAATGAGTTCTAAAATTTATTGTGGAAAAGATTGTACAACTCTTCTTGATAAGTTTGAACTATTGTATATGTGGATGAAGTGCCAATAAAAATTTTAAAAGAAATACAAAAGTAAATCATTATGAGTCATTTTAAAACATGTTAATAAGTGTTACAGAAGGTGATAGGAAATGTTAACATGTGTAGGTGTGTTTAAAAATGCTTTGGTTAATAAAGAAAATATTTAACAACAAAAGAGAGTTACAGCTTCGGAAACCCACAGGAGCAGTTCTGCATCCTATCAGAAGTGATCCCATGGCAGTGAGTTTAACCCTCCCCGGGAAAAGTTTGTGCTTTTTAATTTACACTGTATCAAAAAGAATTTCCATCCTTGAGGGATTCAATTAATGTTCCTTTGCAATGATGTTTGCATTTGGGGAATAAATAAAAACCTGAAAAGGCAGTGAAATGCCTTCTATGCTTAAAGAATAACCAGGTCTGTTGCTGGGAGGGAAAAGAAAGAAAAGCTTTCCTGGCCTTTTTCACAGCAGTGCACTCTTCCATTGGCTTAAAATTGCTCCGTAATAAATCCCCTATGACTCCTGTGTCCTTGGAGAAAATTGAAATTACCTCTGGAATCCCTCGAGACAGTTGTAACCTTATGAAGCTGGTCTTTCTGCTATGAATGTAGCCTAGCAGATCTTGGATACCTCTTAATTGGACCTTTCCATTTGGGGGCCATACATGTTAATGAGCCTAAGACAAATGTCTTCCTTGAGAGAACTTGTATGTAGTTATCTAGTGATTGTCGAGAAATGTTTAGACGTTTTCTTTGGATTAAGCTCATGCATGTATGAACTGAAAACCTAAGTAGTTTTCTACTACCACAAACATATGAAAACCTAAGAAAACCGGATTTTTTTTAAAGCTATGTATTTTTAACAAAACAATCTTAGTGTAATGGGGAGTGGTAAGGTTGGTGGGAAAACAATCTTACCACTCTCCATTACACTTAATACTTTATCAAATCTGTTATTCTATTCTTGAAAATATTTTTTAAACTCATGTTTGGGTGGCTGATCGCGCCTCCCTTGTTTTTTTTCCCTTCACCTTTTCTATGTCATCAAATTGCTGTCCTTTCATGTCCTCTTTCATTTGTGGAAACAATGTTGCACGGAGCAAGGTCAGGTGCATGGGCAAGAGGCATGTTTTTTGCCAAAATCTGACGCACTGAGATGGTTGTATGAGCAGGTTCATTGTTGTGGTTGCAGAACCAGTCCCCTGTCTGCCACAAATTCAGGCCTTTTTTGTACACTGTTAAGCAGTCTTTTCAGAACCTCTAAATAGAAAGCTTGATTAACAGTCTGACCTGGTGGAACAAACGCCAAATGCACTGAGTCAACATTTTCATCTGTTCAGGAAGTTGCGTATCATTGCACCTTTGTGGAAATGAGAAAACAATTCGCACACTTGAGTTTTTCCCATAGTGTCCTTGTAATCTGTGTTCAGCATCACAATAGTTTCTGTGGCATTTTTCCCGAGCAGGAAACAAAATTGTACAGCCACATATAGTTCTCTTAAATCGGCTCTCACAAAAAACGAGGTTCTAGCGAAACTAATTTTACGGAAAAGTTCAGTGACCAGCGAGCATTTTCCCAGGCACCGCCATTGGGTGCACTAACTCAGAGCAAGTTGCTGCACCTAGCTGGAAAAATGCTTGCTAGGAAAGCTAGACTCAGCAGGTTTGTTCTGGTTTTTGAGGGGTAGTTGTGTGTGTGTGTCTGTCTGGTTTTTGAGGGGTAGTTGTGTGTGTGTGTGTGTGTGTGTGTGTGTGTGTGTGTTTCTGAGGCTGTAAATTTTTACAGGAGCAGATTGCCTCATCTTTTTCCCCACAGAGCACTTGGGGGATTTGATCTGCTCATTATGATGCTGTTGGTTGCCATCAAATTCTGGCTCAGAGTGACCCCACATGTGCAGAGTAGAACTGTTGCATAGGGATTTCAGGCTATGACCTTTCAGAAGCAGATCTTCGGGCTTGGCATCCAGGCGGTAACTGGAGGGCTTTTAGAATCACTGCCAAATCATTGTCCTAGAACCCTAGATCATCAACTCGTGCCTGGAATTTGGCTGATTTTTAGACTAGCACATCTTCAGGTATCTAATGATGTGGTGTTTCAAATTTGTTCCATTAGCTGTTAACACAATTTAATGGTTGATATTAACTTACAAACCTGAAGTCAAAGATGTGACCTGACGGTTACTGTCACCAGTGTTGAAATAAGTATTTATGCTCTTGTTATAATCATAAAAGCCCACTGGTTCTTATGTGTGACAATAAGTCTTCCCTAAGAAATATGCTGCCTCGGTCAGTCTTAACAGACAGCAGCCAGATTAAAGGAAGTGTGATAATAAGCAATTCTAAGATTTAGCGCTGATGGATGTGTTGGGCTGCTAACTGCAAGGTCAGTGGTTCAAACCTATTAGCCACTCCACAAGAGAAAGATGAGGCTGGCTGCTCCCTTATAGTATAGAGGGTCACTGTGAGTCAGAATCCACTTGATGGCAGTGGGTTTGGTTGGTTTTTAAAGATCTACTCATAGCATAAACAGTGGTAGAGGACTTTTTTACAGACACTGT